AGTACTTTATAAACAGTGCAAAGTGCAAACACTTATCATTCTTCTTATTATTATTATTATTATTATTATTATTGTTGTTGTTATTATTATTCAATTATTATCATCATTATTAGCAACGTAAAATTTCCTTCAAGTACAAACTTTTCCCACTATTGTTCAGGTTCTCCAGTGGCCATGGACGTGATGAAGAACAGAGTGAGAAAGAGGAAGTATGCTCTGTACGGCAACACAGCTGTTCTCATGGATTCACCCGACTACAGGTACAGTGGTGATAAAACATGTTTTACGCCCACACGAACAGATTTGTCATTTAAGAGGTGGGCTGCTCTGGGGATGCCATCCTCAGCAGACAGACGACGGAGACACTCGATAAAGTAATAATATTATACAAGAAGCGAGGTCGTACTAACGTCTTCTGTATGCAGGGACGAAGAGCTCAACCACTTTACTCCAAATTTCTACCTGTACATTTTAATAATAAATTCCCAATCAATATTAACTGTCATCTGTTTTGTTGCAGATAGATGCTTTGTGGACTCAAGCGGATGATACAATTTTCATCGGGTATTTCTCTCTGTCTTCTGATACTTCATATTTCTCTTCGTCTAGGTTGGCCCTAACATGCAGGGTCGAAGCAACCCCCCTCCCAAATGTTTTGGATTTTGAAGACACGGGTGGAAAACACGTGCTATTCGGAACAAATAATGTAATCACCCATTGCTTATAACCTCGACTTATTAAAAGTTAATATATTTCTAGTCTCACTGTGCAGGTATTCTCAACTGTTAAAGACAGCTACAACGCGGAATTTGGAAACCTCGGAGATATCAGGAACGGAATTCATATTTTGAAAAAGGGCGCCACACTGGGGATACATTGGAAGCAGACTATCTGAAACAGATTGAAATTTAGATGTCTAAGAAAATATGGATACCGTCCGACATAGAAGCTTCTCACCAAAAGAGCCATCAGCTAACAATTTCAGCGTGTAGCCTACACGTATTGAGACCCCATAAGATCTGCAGTCAGTTTTGTTTTTATTTGGAGCGGGGGGGGGGGGGGGGGGGGGCGCTTTAATGGGTCCTAACAAAAATTACTTTTAATAACATCCCTTTGATCAATGTTAATGTCTTGTTTCAGAGTTCCTCTCGATGGTCACATCACACGGTGGTACTATTACTGCGAACGCCCAGGCCTCATCTACTTTTTCGTCACAAGGTATGTCTACATGTTCAACAGATATGTCGTAATTTGTTTGTCTACTTTTGAAAAACAAAAGTTCAGTTCACCAATTGGAAAAGGGTGTATTAATGTAGCCATTATTTCGAACGTCAAAATGCTTCACTCCTCCACATGAGGTTATTTGAATTTTTGCCGCTTACTCAAAAATGCGGATGCGCTTGATGCTATTTTCAAGGAGTAACGTATCTTGTAGAGTTTACATAGAGAGCGTGCAAAGTTTGTCACCAGAACAAATTTTGTTTGAGAACCGTAGCAAAACGTAGCGTCAATGGAGCATCTGGAAAGATTTTTTGTTTGCTTCGATTTGCGATTACACTTTATTTTTCTTAGGGAGTAAACCATTTTGTGTACTGTCTTGGATGGACCGCAGAGAGACCGCTCAAGCTTTATACCCAGGGCACATTGCAGAAAGTTTTGTCCTATCCCTATTTGGAATGGTCTGCCACATAAAAGAGTTTTTAAGTCACGATTGTTGTTTATGGAAAATGGAAGCCAACAGCCAATCAGAAGGCTGCTACATGTCCCATGACATATGTGAGGTCAGATCGTTCCTTTGAGATAAGAATGCCCAAGGGAGATATGAACTTCCGGGTATTATTTGATGAAGAAAAGCAGAGGAAATGATATATTGTGTATTTTCAAACCCTTGTTCCTTGCTCGGTTTTATGTGATCTGATCATGCAGATCTGGTAATTTTGATTAATGGGTATCTGTTCTGAGATATACAAAAGTCATTTCAGATCATTTAATTTTATGTTAATGGAGCATCACTCTTCCTCTACCTCTGTCTCTCACTGATAAAAATTAAACTCTCTCTCTCTCTCTCTCTTTCTCTCTCTCTCTCTCTCTCTCCCTCCCTCTCTCTCTCTCTCTCTCTCTCTCTCTCTCTCTCTCTCTCTCTCTCTCTCTCTCACACACACACACACACACACACACACACACACACACACACACTTAAAATTGTAACTTGATTTGCATTCCGCTTAGCGATTAATTACAGTTTTTCACTGAGAAATAAGTTAAATAACTACACGTATGTAACAAGCTGCAACCCGTATGTTCATGCTGGAGGTATAAAAGGATTGCACTTATTGCTATCTTGACTAGAGGTAGAGACTAGAGGCAAATTGTGGCCTGCCTTGACTCATCAGGGAAGAAAGATTAAAAACCAATTTCATGTACAGCAACAGTCGAACTTGACGTATATTTTTATTGAACATTTCAGCCGGATCAGAAGGTGGACTACATTATGCATCAAAGAACCTGTAGGCGTACATTAAAAAAAACAGCCTTGGTACTTATCAGTTCCCGAGCCGCCCCTGACCTTTCACGTAGTATTGTGTACTTACACACGACATAAAAGACTCAGGGGCGCCCGTTTGGTCATTTGGTCATCGGACCGATATCTGGTGAATCCAGATATTCTGCGGACAGGCTGAGGTTCTGCAGTTCATTTGCAATTTCACCAGTCGACTTTAAAATTTCATTCCATCTTTAAAAAAAAATATTGGTCAAAGCCTAAAAAGAATAGCATTTCACACACACACACACACACACACACACACACACACACACACACACACACACTCACACACACATACACACACTCACACATACACACACACACACATTTTTATTTTTGTGTCTGTTCAGGGGAGACAGAAGAACGAGGACGAGAAGGATGGTGGGTTATAATGCCGTGAACTGCACCGCCAGCTGGACCATGAGCTACGATGTACCCGCAGCGGAACAGCTGACTGTACAAAAGGGCGACCTGGTGGGGCTCTTCGTCACAGAGCCGTATCTCATCATGATCAGCTGGTGTGTGCATGCACAACACAAGATCTTGCAGCTGCCCCACACCGTGGCCACTGATATCGACAGCCTAAACCGGACCTTGAGCTTTAAGTATAGCGATCCCTACTGCATTGTCCCTTCTATAGCGTACAGAGTAGATCCTCTTTAGGACATCTGCCTTCTCGTGTGCCATATTAATGATGTTATTTTACGAAAATAGGCATACTTTCACTCTGAAAATCACAATGTATAGCATACACTTTGAGGCTGGGAATTATACAACTGTTTAAATCAAAACTTTGGCCTTCTGTCACCGTTCCTGGGTGGACAACATGTATTTGTTTTGTTATCTTTTAGCAGATGCAACACTTTTGGAGTTTACTTCAGTAAAATACCTTGAAAAAACGAGTGCTTTCAGAGGTCTTATTGTCTTTTATTCTTATTACAGTGGGGAGGGGGATCTAAAAAAAAACCTCAGCTGATGAATTCTGGGAGTCTTGCAGCCATAAATCATAATCCAATTTGATCAATGAAGGTGTATGTTTGTGTCAAATCGATATAACAGAATTGGCATATCGCATTTCTTATAGCCAATTTAGATATCACCAAATTCTGATATTTTCCCCTCTGAGATGAGCAAGAGCAATCTAATAATAGCCGTGAAGATGATATATTTCTAAATCAAAATAGATAGATATTATGTGACTATTTGATATGATATGTTAAAATGTACTCAGTAATATTTGCTGTGGCAATAGAAGTGCGCACACAAACACATTTCTAAAACTAATAGAATGCGTCACCATAAGTCAGTAAATGTATTTCTAAAAGTGCATTGATAGCAGTGAGCCTGGTGAAAACATGTTTTCGGGCTCTTTTAGGACGTAGCAGACACATAATATGAAGTCAAATCAGTAGCAGACCAAAAACAATGGTGAGGTTCATTTCGGTTCATCAAACATAGATCAAAAACGCCAATTCGCTTATCGCATAGTCAGCAGGTTATTGCCTGTAATTTCAGTTTCATATAAAGCAACCAGAATTGAAAAAATAACGATGTTAGGATTCTTAATTTTTAAGTGCCTCAAAATCAAAACAACGTCTTTAAGGACGCAGAATGACCAGAATGCTCAACCTCACGCGAGTTATAAAGAAGTATCCGATCTCAAAGCTTTAAGACATAAAATTTCATTCTTCCCAAACAGCAGCAAGTGGAGTCGGTAGCCTAATGGTTATGCTATCGGAATCGGAATCGTGAGATTGCGGGTTCGGGGGTTCGAGCGACGACGTTATTTCCCACTTGGCTCAGTCCTTTCGGAGATCGACGTTTAACTCGGAGGTCCCGCCTTATAAATACCCCAATAGTGTTCACAGATCGTTAAACATATACCATTTCACTATTTCACCACAACAGCAACGGGGTTGTCTCATTCGCTGACTTCTGCGCATACCTGCTGTTATCTGCGGTCGGTGGGCCTATCAGCAATTCGCTGCCTTAAAATTATTACGGTCTATTTGAAATTTTTGGCCATTTTGAGTTACTGTTTTGAGCCCCATCCATGCCACTGAGCTCGGGTAATTTCAGATAAAATAGATGATACTTTATTGTCCAGAAGGAAATTTTTCTTGGCTGTACAGAACCGTAATCACATATGCAGGTATGCATAAAAATTAAATTATATATATATATATTACTTTCATTAAAATTCAGAATGACAGTGATGCGTTCTATCTCCCCTCCTGTGTATAATAAAGACAAAATAACGCAGAACGCAAAAACCAAAGCCCAGGAAACCTAAGTGAACTTCTATTCGCAGATGACCAATGTCTTATTGATCCAAACCAACAAAGCCTCGAAAATCACACAACCGAACTGAACTACAGCTGCAAGAAATTTGACATGAAAATAGCACATCAAAAACAGAAATTATGAAAGTGAGCCGAAACCGTAGTCCCTGAACATTCATGTCAGTAGTAAACACTGAACAGGTGAAGGAGTTTAAATATCTATGGAGTGCGTTTTCTGAAAACGGGTCCAAAGACGGAGAAATAGAAAAGCAAACTCAAAAAGCCAACGCTGTCACCTACCAGCTCGCACCCCTCCTATCTCATCGATCATCTCTATGGACACAAAGAGACAGCTTATCACCTCAATATTCATACCAACAGTATGCTACCAGTGCCAGACCTGGACATAAGTAAAATCCATGAAAGCTAAATCCCTGCATGTGAAATGAAATGTCTACGCAAAACCCTTAACATCACAAGACGAGACATGCAGAGAAATGAAGAAGTAAGAGCAGCTGTCGGTATTGAGTCCTGCCTGCTTTACATAAAAAGATAGAGAATAAAATGGTTTGGCCACCTGTTACGTATGTTACCTGGCCAGCCAGCCTCGAGAGCATACAGCACCAAGCACTCCGGGCATAAAGGAAGAGGAAGGTCATGCAAAGGGAGGATTGGGGGCGTCAAGGAAACCCTGAGAAAACATAATATCACAATTGAAAGAGATGCGAAGCTGACCTACCATAGAAAACTGCATCTCCCCTCGACGTTTAACAGCAACAGAGGGTGAAAAAGTAAAAGTGAAAGTAGGCATATCAAGAAAAGTAAAACTGACAAAATTTATATATCACGTCAGATGCTTCGTTCAACCACATGCGAGAATGGAATTCCAAGGCGTTAAGAGTTATCTAGATACATACTCGAAACAGCAAAACACATTGATGTTTATTTTGACAGGACAGTAGCCTCCTACTAGATGGTAAAAAACTTCTTTAGGAAGCGCACTGCTCAGACCATACCTGTCAGGGCCAACGTAGACTTGATGGGCACATCAATCCAGCTGAAAGATATAATAATATGATGTCGATGACCCGAGTCCGAATGTCATAAGGGACGGTCTTGAACTAGGGTTGATTGGAGAGTTTTCAAGGCTCTCAACCTACTCGGATGTGGAGCTTCTTGATTAATTAACTTGACAGTGTTGAAAATTGACTGTGGTACTAAATCTAAACAAGTAGCAATAGAAAGTTGGGGATACTCGATAAGCCTTAATACGATAAGATTTGATATGATAATACTTTATTGTCCCAATGGGAAATGTTCTGTTGTGTACAGGAATGATAAAAACACAAGTATATATACACAGAATTTAACTCACGTACGTATATTCGTATTACTTTCATTTAAAGAATTTCAATTTCAAAATAAAGCTTAAAATAATACAGTATGTCATATCAGATGCATCTCTGTCAAACCCCATTCGTATATAAAAAAAATAAAAAAATAAATTTTAAAAAATATTTAAAAAATAAAATAATAATAACAATAACACTACTAATAACTATAATAATAATACAGCAACACACTGTCGATCATAGAATTGTAAAAGAAGTTGAAAATTTTAAAAACTTAATGTGATGACTTATATAAATGGAAATTATCTAGCGCATAAGATAGCTGTAGTATTTTAGAAGAGGTTCCCGGGGGCTCTCGTGGCCTAGAGGTTAAAGTGTTTGCCTCTCATTCAAAGGTCCCGGGTTCGAATCCGGGTAGCGACGGAAAATTTTTCTTCATTAAAATTGTCTTCTTTCACCTCCTTTCCTGCTTTCTAGCAATATTCTATCGTCTGCTTTCGTCTCCACTTTCTGCCCCCACCCCCTCACCTCCTTTGTACCCTCATCTGGGCTCCTGACTCTTTCTGCAGCCTTTCAACTGCTTCTCCTTTACTCCTTCTTACTACTGTTTGTAGTCACAGACCTGATCTTCTGGTAGGAAAGATCTACAGCCTTCTCGCTCAAGGGCTCAAAATCTCGGAGGTCCCGTGTGCAAGTTGCGCACGTTAAAAGTACCTTGGTGGTGTAAAATCAATAAGAGTGGGCTTCGGCCGCCACCAGGGCAAAATTCAAAATGTCCTACCAACTGAAAATGTTTGGTGTTTCCCATGCGTTCATATGACCCAGTTGAGAACGCCGTATAAAACTTACCGAAAAAAAGATGTTTTGCCTTGTACCATGCGACCTGTATTTTGTTTGTTAAATGAATTCACCCGAAACAAGTTATAGGCTACCTCTTTGGCTCACCCGCGTCACGATCTCACTCTCGCTATGACTCACGAAGAGTCAGTCAAGAAGCATCCGTCTAGGTGAACGGTCAGCCCTGTGCTGTCTTGTTTATACGGTCACAACGTTTTATTTCATACTAAAACTTCTCAATGTCCATAAAAAGAACATTTTTTATTTTATTTCTTATGTATAAAAGCATTAAAATATCAATCAAAGAATGTTCTTCTTAGGGAAATTGAGGAAGTTTTAATATTGATAATGTACCCCCCCCCCGCCCATTCTATTAAACGAACAAAAGAATAGAATTAATGCATTTTAACTCCATAGCCTCTGGTGAAGTCACAAGTATAGAAAACACCGGATGGTAGCAGACCGACTTTCTGGTCACACAAGATACTTGCCATGCTTGACTCCAACAGTATCATAAACCTTTTTCAATTCTTAATTGTTGCCCACACCACCCCACCCCACCCCTTTCGCCAAATTCATGACAAAATATTGAAATATCAACCAAAACTTGTTCACTTTCGCCAGACAGTGGTTGAAACACGATAAAATGATATTGATCTGTTTGATCTTCTCAGATCTTTGAATACGGGTCAAAACGTTAGATAACCAACAGAAATTAAAAGCCCATTCACAAAGGTCATTTCAAACTTACGTTCCGACATGTTTTCTTTGATGTAAGCAAAGAGCGGGTAAAAAATGAGAGGGGATTTACAGCATACACCTGGAAATTTAAAAGTTGGCATATTATTCCCTCAACACCACACTTTAACGTAGGCTACACCTAAGAAACACGATTCAAGAGACGGGGTGAGTAATTTTGGAGACACATGGAGCACGTGGAGACGTCTTAACAGCCGTGGGATGAACTCTACAAGGTTACAAGGAAAAAAACGAGCAATTTGTTGGCAAAGTTACCGTAAGTCATTCATTCTAGAGATCACATTCATGCCTCCAAAGAGCGGTTTTTAAAATAGGACCCAAAGAGAAAAACTTTTATATTACTGGTCCAGGCTTGTTTTTGGAAAAAAATATTTTGTTTGGTAGCCGACCTGCAGAAGTGCCACACAAAGTTTTGTGGGCATAGGTAAGGTAGATTAATAAATGAACGAACGAAAGTGAACAAGCTATAATTATTTAACCGTGTGGTAAATATTTAAGAAAAATCGACGACTTTGACAGTTACTCCTATTTAGTCAACAAATAAGGCACAATGTCTAGGAATTCATATCTAGAGATCGGATTTTGGCTCTCTGGGAGTGGAATCCAGTTGCTCTTGGAAAATTGTCCTCAGACTTCCAGTTCCAATCTTGGGAATAATTCAGGGTTATCTGTGTGTCCAATGAATCTGGAGAAGGTATCCCAAAAGACTTTCTTTACTTCTGGCTGGCTGTCAGGTGGAGGAAACTCGCTGTAAGCGTCTTGTCGCATCAACCGCAGAAGGTCACGTGACAACTGGGCGTCTTGCATCGGATCATACAAGAAGAGATGGAGAACCTGACGACGAGACGTGGCCTCCTCCATGAGCGCCATCTGCAGAGAATACTCAAACCACTCGTTGTCCCGGTAGCCTGCGGATAGGATAAGGACGGTGAAGGTGCTGCTCTGTACGGCGCTCACGATGTTGCAGGGGATGAAAGAGCCAGGTAGAAAATCTTTTGCCTCAATGCACACTTTATGCCCTCTGTCCTCAAGCTCACGGAAGCACTCGGTGACAATGAAACGCTCAATATCTTCCGAGTACACGAGATAGGCGTCAAATTTGTAGTTCACATTGTTTTCGCCTGGCTGTCGCATGCCGTAGTACCTGGCAAGGATGATATTTTTCCAGTAACACAACCGCCACCGGTTCCGGACCAGGAGGGCGGAAGTGATGATGACGAGAGCCACACCCACTGATGACGCACTCACGGACACAATGTAGGCGTAGGACACGCACGAACGTCGCAGCACCCGGAACCGGGTTTTGATATCGCCCATTGGGAAGATCCGTTGGTCTTTGTCGCGACACTGGAGGAAGTCTTGGTCCAAGATTCGGACCCGGGTGAAGGCGATCCAACTCAACACCTCCAACCCATTACATGTGCACGGCAATGGATTATTCTCAAGGGCCAGGGTCACCGTATGACTCATCGCTAACGTGTCAAGGTCATCACGGCTACGTTTACTTATCCAAGACACGGAGTTTCTTCGCAGGTCCAGGAAGCTGAGTGACGCCATGTGGGACAACTTGATGTCCAGAGCCTGCAGGTGATTGTCAGTAAGGACAATGACCCTGATCTTACTCATGTTTTGGAACACTTTATACGGGAGCCTGTAGATAGAGTTATGCGAGAGGTCCAGATAGGTGACTCTGTACGCACGGACGAACGTGTTCCCGACATAGTCCCTGGCAAGTGCATTGCCCAAATAGTTTCTTTGTGCACTCAAAACTTCCATCTGGTTCTGAGCTGGTAAAAAGCGCATACTGATTTCATCACATTTGTTGTCGGACAAATCAGCAACTACAGAAGTGGACGGAAGCTGCAAGGTACCCCAGGAGTTCAGGTAGCCATTTGAAAAATAGACCTGTTCCACGTGCAAAGATTTCAAACGTAGAATAGGATCACCAAATTTGAAGGCATTGTTGGCTCTGTATATCGGTAGACTACGTGGTGATTTGTTTGTCGTAGCTCGTGGTCTCAAGGGTAAGCCCATATGCATTAATCTGGACTCAGGGTGTGAGCTCATGTGACTAGGTCTCTGAGCCAAATGCCATATTTTGAGTGGATTCAAGATTGGGTCATATGGGCTCAGGGTCTGCGTAGTGTTCTGCTTGTGTATCTCACGAAGGCGAGGATCCGACGACACAAAATAATTCTGATCGCTTATGTCAAACTCCACCAACCCTCTCAGCTTTCCGCTATCCAACAAACTTCGAAGAATGTTCACACTGTGGAGTCGATTGCCCTTAAAGCTCAAGTACCTGAGGCTCTGGGGCAAATTTTCTACAAATCTAGGTTCAATGAAAAAGAGATGTAGTGTTTCCATTCTCAGAACTTCCAGTTTGGTCAAGCCCTGGAACAACCGAGACTCGTTGTATCCTATAGCGGGCATGCGATATCCTCCAAGCTCATGAAAGTTGTCAAAAAAAAGAGATTTCAAGGTTGAGTTATTCAAGTACGGGATTAAGTTTAATGCCTGGCGAATGGTGATGTCCGATGGCTTGGACAACACGAACTCCTCTAAATGCTTTAATGATCTCAAGGCCATGGTGTCTATGGAGCTCAGTTTACAATCAATTACAGCAAACTTTTTCAGATATATCAGATTTTCAAACATATCTGGTGTAATGGCTACCAAGTTGCAGAAACCGTTTTTGCCAACATACACAGTGTAGAGCTTAGAAAGGTTTCTAACTTCTGGTCCAAAGTGTAGTATTTTATTACCATCCACATACAGTTCTGAGAGATTGTGCAGAACTGACAAACTTTGACTTGGAACATTTTGTCCCCCGCTAGAGCCAGCGATATCCAGTTTGAAAAGCTGTCTGAGCGGTCGGAAGAGGTCAGAAGTCATTTTATAGGACGACAACCTGATGTTATGTGTGAGAAGAAGAATAGAGAGACGTTCAAGCGATCGGAAAGCACCAGTCTCGATGTGGCCTATTATACCGTAAGAAAGATCTAAAACTTCAAGGCTGTGCAAGCCAGCAAAGGTGAAATTCGTGATCCGTGAAACCTGAATGCGAGCAGCGAACAAATGTGTGAGGTTTGATAGGTTTTCAAAGGCGTAGTCTGTGATGTTCTCCACTTCATTAAAGGATATATCCAAAATTTTAACAGGACTCCAGAAGTTGGGCATTTCCATAGAAGCACTGTCTATGGATGACAAAAGATTGTTGGACATGTTCAAGGCCAGAAGATTTGGGTAGAGGGTGAGGTTTTGTGACATCAGTTGTTTGATCCTGTTGTTAGAAAAGTCAATGCTCTGAGACGTCGGAGGAAGCCAGTTAGGGACTCTGTGTAGAGACCATCTGGTATGCCTAAAATTGCAGTCCGCGAGAGTTGCCTTCCTTGATGCGTTGACGCAGACACAGGCCCCGCACCGAAAGCGATTCACAGGCGTGCCGTACTTGAGCAGTTCTGCCGGAGTCTCAACCAGAAGTTGTGACGGTTGAGGTGACGTTGAAACCACATCTGAGTCAAGTAGGTTAACGTCGCATCTTATGTCTCTCCCCGGAGATAGTGACTGGCTCCCGCATGATGGTACCAGATGCAGGTCTCTTCGCACCATAGCCGCTCGGGTCACGTTGGACTCGTTGACAGCAGTTTCTCCAAGGCAACAGTTACCAAGAGCAGCTAGGACTATCGTGAGCAGGACTGGCCCAGCAGAACCAAGTTGTGGAGTCATCATCGCCGGATGGAGCTGTAATGAGAGAACGATTTATATATCTATCTATCTATCTATTTATCTATATATCTATCTATCTGTCTGTCTATCTGTCTGTCTGTCTGTCTGTCTATCTGTCTGTCTGTCTGTCTGTCTGTCTGTCTGTCTGTCTGTCTGTCTGTCTGTCTGTCTGTCTAGAGTGGGGGCTCCAGTGGCTAAATGAGTAGTGGGTTCAGTCACAAATGTAATGTCATGCAAGTGTCGGTGACACGACAACCCTAGGAAAAAAACAGGTCGCTGCTCAGTGGCGACCAGCAATGGCATATTTATGGAATAGTTCTGTATTGGTGTATTTATGAATTTATGTATCATACATTTAGTTATGTATTGCCACTGTAACCCAAATTTCCCAACATAAGAATAAAAGATCAAACATACAAATAGGATAGAAAAGAAAACATTAGAGGAAGATCCCAAAAGTTATTATACTCCGATAAAAATGAAATGGACTGGCCACATGGGTAGAGTGAAAGACAACAAATAGTCAGGCATTTATTGGCTTGTCGATATGGCAAAGACATTAAAGGTTTTTATCTACTGAGTTTTGTCGCTGTGTGGAGTATTTCTGATATCTGGGGAGACAGTTATTACGTAGGTAACACGTAGGTCGATAAGTGCAGGGCAGGTAAAGATGTAGTGTGATACTGTTTCATGCTAGCGGTCCCACAGCCGGCAGTCAGGCGGAGTATCCTTGCGGATCCTATTTAGGTATGAATTCAGTGGGATGTGTTGTGTTCGCAGGCGAAAGATAGCGACTTGTTCTCTTCTACTCAGAGAATTCAGTGCATCTTTTGAGCTGGGAGCAGCAATGTGTTCAAATACAGTTCCTCCGCTCCATTTTACCCATTGCCCAATGCCCATCCATTCAGTCACTGTTACTTGCTTGGTGCTGCATTTGATGATGTTCTTGACGTGATGCTTGGTTTTGGGGTTGTGTTTGTGATGCTCCCTTTTTCGCAAGGGTGTCTGCTCTGTCATTTCCTGGGATGTTGCTGTGGCCAGGTATCCACTGTAAAGCCAGGTTGACAGCATAGGTCTGCGTGGAGGTGTTGATTGTTAGAGCCACAGATAGGCAGGCAGGGCTTTCCAAATTCATGTTTTCTAAAGCTTGGAGTATTGATTTTCCTTCTGTGAAGATTACCGTGTCCTTGGTTTTGTCTGAATATATAAAGAAACTCGTTGGTCACGTTGATGATTACAGCTCCAATGGCGATGGCCTCTGCCTCATAATTGGTACAATAAGTACCACAGGCATTAAATTGTTCTTCACATGTCTTGTCAGGATCATGTTCTATTCTTACTCTAAAGCCTGCATTAATAATTTCCAAGCTTACCCATCAGTGTAAATATGGATTGAATTACTAGGGTAGGAGTCAGTAGTTTTGAGAGCTGTGATCTTTAGTTCTACTGGGTCACATTCCCTTTTAACTGTCTCCTTTATGAGAAAAGTTTCGATGTCGGAGTTCTTGATATTGGTGTTTGGTGGAGGGGGGAGTTCTGGACTTAAGGGTTCCAGCATTTCTCTGTCACATGGAAGGTGGTGTTTTTCTTCTAGTTCGATGGCTGTGTCGATTATTGATCTTCGATGGATTTGTTTCCTTGGTCGTCTCTGTTCAATTATCATCCTGTTTGGGTGGTTTTTGTCTAGTCTCTTGTAGCGCTCATTCATCTCCACCACTGCTACCTCTCCGCAGGTCCAAGGGTTCCAGGTTCGTAAGGATTTGGCAAGCTGCGGTTGGGGTGGATCTCAAAGCTCCTGAGGTAAATCGTAAAGCTTGGTTCTAAATTTTATCGGGAGACTTCTGAGTTGGTTTGCTGCAGATTGTCTGAAGGGTTAAATCGTATTCCATGGCAGAATGTACATAGCCAACATATAGTTGTCTGAATGCATCCGTGTCTGCTCCCCATAAAGTGCTAGCCAGCCGTCTGAGAAGGTTAAAGTCTCTGTTGGCCTTTGTCTTCAGGTTCCAGATATGATTTTTGCATTAACACTGCTTGTTCAGCATGATCCCGAGGTAGGTCAAGTTTTCAACCTGCTTGAGTTTGGTTCCTGTAAGTGCAGGTGAGATGGTGAGACTTTGCTTTGCAATTTTGCGACTTTTTGTAAAGACGGTGTTAATTTAAATTGTCTTGGCACAAGTCGCTTGCAGCAATAGTTGTCGAATCTGTCTTTGTCCTCCTTTATAAGCCATGCACTGATGTCAGTTCATTTGCTTGAATAACAGATGGCTAGGTTGTCGGCATATGGGGCCTTTTCAGTATCTCAGGCAGAACGTTGATGAAGACAAAGAAGAGTGAGCTGCTCAGACAGGAACCCTGGGGTAGGCCCCCGCCGGTACAGCTTTGAATGACACATCAATGTTCATCCTGGTCTGGATTGCCCTGTCTGTAATGAGGGCCTTCACCCATCTGTAGAGTTTCCCATGGATTCCTTTATATGTCATCTTCCACAGGAGGCCTTTTCTTCATACCCTATCGCACGCTTGCTGGAGATTGACGAATACTTCTACTGTATGTTTCTTTTTCTGGAAGCCATCAATGACTTTCTGACAGAGATTGCAGAGCTGGTCGTCTATTCGCTGACCTGTACGAAATCCTGCTTGGTTGTCCAAAGCACAGGCTGTTTCCAACCACCAGTATAGGCGGTGATTGACCATCCTCTCTGCTAGTTTCCCAACGCACGAGGTGAGTGAAATGAGTCGATAGCTTTTCATTTCTTCAGCAGGTTTTTCTTTCTTGAGAATGAGTTTGATAATGGCATTTCTCCATGCTCTCTGGATGGTGTTTTCGCTCCACGTCTTGCTGATTAGTTGGAGAATAGTACCCTTACCAGCAGGACTGAAGATGACAAGCATCTTTTCTAATCCAGGGGATTTGCGAGGCTTCAGTTTCTTCATTGCCCTGTTGAGCTCAGTGGCGGCTGTGAAGCCATCTTCAAAGAGAGAGAGAGAGAGAGAGAGAGAGAGAGAGAGAGAGAGAGAGAGAGAGAGAGAGAGAGAGAGAGAGAGAGAGAGGGAGAGAGAGAGAGAGAGAGAGAGAGAGAGAGAGAGAGAGAAAGAGAGAGAGAGAGATACTTGCACTTCCTCTTTCAGTCTTGGTCAAACTAAGCTATTTACTAATAATGCAGTATGCTAAGTATTGATAAGATGACATATTTTACTGCTGTTTTTATTTCTGAGCACATGCAGCTGATCAGACGATTTACCTCATTGACAAATTGGAATCTAAATAGATGCCACGATGTTTAGCTTTTCTTGAAGAAGCAATTTCCTAATTATCAATTTTGATGTAACCAGTTTCAACCTCATTTATAGACTTTCCACTTCCAAAATGACTCCTGTTTTATTACCATTCAACATCTTTTTATTCATTTATTCATTCATTTGTTTATTTAGCTCGTCTAGTTTTCACTGAGACGATACTAATGTCAGAAAGATGGCCTACAAAAATGGTGAAATGGTGTGGGTTTAACGCCCCTTTCAATTATATTATGTTATTTAAGAGGTGGGACCTCCGAGGTTAACGTCCATCTCCGAAAAGACCGAGTCAAGTGGGAAATTCATGTAAAGTGCCTTTCCCAAGGACACAACGTCGGCCCGAGCTAAAGCTCGAACCCCCGAACCCGCAATCTCACGATTACGAGTCCAGCCTTACCACTAGGCTACCGACTCAACTAAAGGTGGCCTATTTCATGTAAGTTAGTGGACATTGCTGAACCGTGCATTTGGGTAATACCAGTAAGAACCTGCCCACCATAGCCCCTCGGCTTTGGGTTAGGTGGCCCCGAGACTTACTTGATTGTGATGGCTCATAAGTTCGCTTTTGCCCATGTTGAAACAGCAGAACTTCTTTCTTTTCCATGCCACAAAGCGGAATTACAAAGGTGAACTGAAAGCTTAGTATAAGCTTTTACAGAAATAGCAAAGCAATAAGTCACAAGAGGCCCTAGCAGAAGTTTTCTTCAGATGCAGAATCAAAAACAATTCTAACATGCCCAAGACCGGTTATCTTCAACAAAAACAATAAGGGGCTACTAAGTAGATTGTAATATAACATGATGAAACAACAAACACTGTACATGTCGGAATCACCTTGGCTCGGTCGGTGTCGGAGCTCAGCACAAAGAAAACATCATGAAAAAGCAGGAATCCTTTTGGAAGGTGGTACAGCCGTCAAGGGGTTTGTTTTTTTCCTAAGGAGAAAAGATCAGATTTTGTCAAAGCAGAACCAAACTATTTTATCAGCAAATATAGAATAAAGTCATAAGAGCATTTGACCGTGTTAGTCAATTTGACGTAATTTGTTGACTGTCCTTTAAACACCTATGGCAAAAAGAATGATCATGAGGTATGAATGAACAAATACAAGTCAATGGTCAACTTAGTTTGGATGTTATTGGGAAGTGGCTGGGGTACAAAATCCCTCGAAGGAGTCCAACGAGTCAGGTCAAAGCTGTAAAGTTAAAACGGGGTAGTGAACAGGGAGAGGGGGTGGGTAGGAACAGGAGACGGGTAGGTCAGACCAGACCAGACCATCAATGATATATTTATAGAGGCACCAGCCATCCATGTCCAGGTGCTGTTTTAGCCTCTAAGAGACGGGTAGGTGTGAATAGGAAGAATGCAAACTAATTCCAAAGCGAGTAGAAGACATTCGTATGTATGGGAAGGGGGGTAGATAGATAGATAGATAGATAGATAGATAGATAGATAGATAGATAGATAGATAGATAGATAGATAGATAGATAGATAGATAGATAGATAGATAGATAGATAGATAGATAGATAGATAGATAGATAGACGGACAGACAGGTAGAGAGAGAGAGGGATATAGATATGTATATTTATATGTATATATAATATATATATATATATATATATATATATATATATATATATATATATATATATATATATATATATAGAGAGAGAGAGAGAGAGAGACAATAGTACGGTTAAGAAGTATGAACGCGGCTGTGGAGAAAGGAGAGTGAGATGAGGGGGTGGGCAGGTCATGAAGTGGGGGTATTGAAAGAACTGTAGCGAGGCACTTGAATTAGTTTCCTGTTTATGCATAACACTTTAGAAGTATTTGCGCTGACCAAACAGGACGCAGAGCTGCAAGTCAATTATTTTTGCAAAGCGTACACCAATTGTTCCTCGGTATCTTTATTGTGATTTCCATTTTATCATTGACTACTCTCTATTACAACTTCTCTTCTAGGTGGGTGCTCTGGTGTTTTTCGCTCCTTCTTTCCTACCATACATCTAACGTTTTTATCTCCCCTTGCTTCTTTGTTTGAGTTGGTTACTCTCTTGTAGCACATCTAATTTTTGGCACTTGCGTGACATAATGTGTTGCAAGTGCCGTAAATCCTTGCTAAAACTAAACTAACTAAACCTGGATTTAGGGGATCTCGTGGCCTAGAGGTTAAGGTGTTCGCTTCTCATTCAAAGGTCCCGGGTTAGAATCCGGGTAGCGACGGAAAAAATATTTCTTCTCTAAAATTGTCCCCTTTCACCTCCTTTCCTGCTCTCTGGTAATGTTGTTTCTTCTGCTTTCGTGTCCACTTTCTTCCCCCACCCCCTCACCTCCGTTGCCCCCTCTTCTGGGCCCCTGAACAGCATTTCTACTGCTGCTCTCTAGCTCCTTTTTACTGCTGTCTTTCAGCCACACCCCTGATCTTATGGTAGGAAAGATCTACACCTAGCCTTCTCGGACAATGGCGAAAATTCTCGGAGGTCTGGTGTGCACGTTGCGCATGTCGAAAGTCTAAAATCGACAAGAGTAGGCTTCGGCCGCCACCAGGGGAAAATTCAAAATGGCCTACCAACTGAAAATGTTAAATGTGTTCCGAGCGCTCATATGACCTTCTGCAATTGCGGACGCCATAAAACACTTACAGAAAAAAAAGAAAAAGAAAAGAAAAACCCTGACTCTTCAGCGGCTGGTTGTTGTGAAGTGAGTGTAATCCCTGTCGAAAAGGGAGCGCGCTGACACAACAGGCGAGTCGACAATAGCAGCAGAGATACGTTGGCAACACTCACGCGACCGCAGCCTGCCAACACCCTACACGAAACTGAAGTGAGCACACTCGAACGACCTCTGAACACTTCCTCAACTTTACTTAGAGTTCACACCAACGGCGCTTTGATGGCGCTTTTTGACTTCTTCAACTTTACTTAAGAGTTCACACCAACGGCGCCATCAAAAGCGGCTGCAAAGCGTAACAAAGCTCGACTAAAGCGTCAGGGTCGTCATAGATCGTTGGAAAGCTTGGAGCAAAGCGGGACATTCGGCAAGAGCGCCCAAAACTTTTAAACTGTCTAAAAATTGCTTTACCGTTCCTCTTGTATCGATAGCTGTCGAGGGAAAGTCCAATGTTCTGTCAATGGCGGGGTGGGTGGCTTTTGTTGTTGATATGTTATTCTTTTGGATGACCTCTTTTTGTTTATCTTATAGGCCTACGCTCATACTGTGCTCCCCCCCCCCCTCTCAATCTCTCGCTCTCTCTCTCTCTCTCTCTCTCTCTCTCTCTTAATAATAATAATAATAATAATAATAATAATAATAATAATAATAATAATGATGATGATAATAATAATAATAATAATAATAATAATAATATTAATAATTTAAAAAAAATAATGGTTGCAAGGCAAGGACAAAAGTATCAATAATATATAAGTAAGCCTAATAAAGCAACAGCCGCAACAGCAAAAACACCTACACTTACGCCACAGACCAGGCTGGTATTAACTAAGCCTACACCTACAACGCAACGAGTTACATGATTTTCGTAAAGCTTTTTATTTTACTTCAATTCGCAATGCAATCTTGGCGTTACTAGATCTACATTTCACCGCAATATTCAGGGGAAAGCAGGCAACGGGGAGAGCGAAATAGTATCGCAGTATTATACTCCGGGCTGAGTCAAGTCAGAAAGTTCGAGACGGGGCGATGGAATCGTTACAATCATCATAACAACGAAATATTTTAATAAGAAAAAGCAACAGAGTTTTACAAAAGGATCCAAACACAAAAAAGTAGGTGAGATAAGGAAGAAAGATAAATGTTTGATCGAAAAAAAGAGCAAACCTCACCAAAGCACCCGCAAACCACCTGCACACAAGGCAGACGGTGGTGCTCGATTTTAATAACCTTCCCACTCGGGAATCGAACTCCCTTCTTCTGAGGTGAAGAGCATTAACATTACTTATGCCACAGGCACCAGTGTAGACTAATTGTTCACACGTGCACTTTTTTCCAAGCTCAAGAACAAAGAATTTAAGGGACTATGTAAGGGGACCCAGGTCACCTGTCTCTTTTCTGTGTCTACCACTACGACTGTGGAATAATGTACATCACACAACTCTTCTGTTATAACTGTTAGGTACGTATCGGGATTTAGACAGTACCTTTCTTCTACTCAGTAGTCACTTTTCGGTTACAATGTACTAGAAGACTATAATAAAACCAAAGAGCCTTTTCAGACGTGCGTTTCTTCACTCTCTCTATATCTGTTTGTACCCACAAACCGAACAATATTACAACGACCTTGTTTGTTGGAGTGGCCCTTGTACGTATGTATGTGTCCATACGTACGTGCCTGCGACGACCACTGCCGTCAGTACTCATACATTTACTACATCTAGGCTAACATCAACACCACCAATTCTCTTCACCCCCGCCCACATTCTTTTCCTTTCGGTACGTTCGCCGCCCCGCCACCATCACAACCATCACCACAGTCACCACCACCGCCACTACCATCATCACGACAACAACACCAACCATCACCACGAACCACATCCACCATAGACATGGACCCATAATTCCCGCCACGCCCGTGATAGCCGTTTCCACAAACCCACCCGCAGGGTCAGTGAAAAGGAATTGAAAGGTTTCTTAAAATAAATCATCCATTGTCTCATATTTGATATGTACTTACCTTATCTTAGTAAAACAGCAACAATGAAAATTGCAATAACACTGGCCGTTCGTTATCTAGGTGTCCAACACAAAACCACATATAGCGAACAAAGCTAACAAAACAGACGAAAGAATCACCAACCTTTTCTTTGGATCCGAAAATTTTCTAAATGAATAGACGTGGCGGACACAAATGTTTATCTAAGCAATACCAAAGAGACGGAGAGGGGTAGGGGAGGAGGAGGAGGTGGGCGAAGGAAGGCAAAGGAAAAACCACTTGGGCCTATTTTGTCCTCGTAAGAACGGTGATTCACAACGCACGATGTGAAAATACAAAAGCTCTCAGGACACACAGCTAAGCGAGAAACCGATTATCTCAAAGTCCGTTTAATGGCGAGCTGGTTTCATTTGTGTGGAGGCGGGGATCTTTGGGGGCCGGGGAAAAAGTTAGTCGAAGAACATGGAGCATATTTTATACTTTAAACGGCTAGCTTGAGCAAGCGAAAAAGCAAGCGCTGAAGTAATATTCCTCATGAAGCCATTTTGACTCCCAGAAAGAACCCCGTCAGACTTTGAGGAATCATGTGCTTGTTCGCTTGCTTTTTAGAGCGTGAAGCTTATTCTCTGTTCTTTCTTGGCCGGTCACTTACATCGACGGAGCCATTCTCTGACCGACAAACTGGTTCCTTGAAACAAGTTCCACACACGAAAACAGCCCCTTCTGTTTTTAAGCGATTAGAGGTAAATAACTCCACAATACTTTTGTATCATTTATTGCGTATGATAACACCGGACCTAACACGCATTGAGGTACCGGCAATTGACTTCGGCATTGGTTAAAAGCAAACAAAGAGTTGATCTTTTTCTTCCTATGACAATGTAGGCCTAGGGTCTAAGAGCACAACACCATAAGCATAGGCTACTGATAAATCGTGAGGACGACGATTTGCTGCGTTAACTTGTCTGAGCTCTACATGTGGTTCTGTTGTGGACACTTGGCCCTTGCAGATTTTACAGAAGTCTGGATGTCTTCGCATGATACTACTACTACTACTACTACTACTACTACTACTACTACTACTACTACTACTACTACTACTACTACTACTACTACTACTACTAC